CAATCCCTCCCCATCCCATCCCACCCGCTCTCCATCCTAACCCCCTTCCCTCCCCATTCCACCCCATCTCTGTCCAACCCCCGCATCCCTCCCTATCCCTCCCCATCCCACTCCTCTCCATCCCATCCCACCTCGGCTCTCCACTCCCCCTGACCTGATGACCCCGTCCAGGGATCCCACACACACGATGCTGTCCGTGATGGGCACCATGCAGTCGATGGACTCTGCCCTCAGCGCGAAGCGGTCGCTGGCGGCCCCAAACCCGTCCCAGTTGAAGAGGTAAATGGTGCCCTCACTGGAGCCACACGCCACTTTCCTCCCTCTCTGGGCACGACAGAGGGCAGTGAGGCAGAACAAGAAACTCAGAGCACGGACATGCATCCGCGGGATCCTGCTCCGCGTCAGGGGGCAGCGCCAACCTTCAGCAGCACCACCGACGTCAGGTCCCCGTTCTGCGGCTCCGAGAGCAGCTCAAAGCGCCGCCTCTTCACGTTGTACACGCCCAGGGTGCCATCCCCGCTGCGGAAGGGACACCCTGTGAGCAGGGGACACGGCACAGGGCGCTGCCCCCAGCGGGCACGGGGAGCCCGACCCCAGGTACCTGGCGGTGAGCAGGATCTTCCCGTTGCCATCCACGGCCATGGCACTGATGTATTCCTCCTGCTGCCGGGCCTCCAGGACAGCATCGCCCTTGCGCAGGTCCCACACCTTCACCGCCCCGCCGTCATCGCCCGTGGCGAACACGTGCTGGTCGATGGGCAGCACACAGTTGAGGGCCGAGCTGCAGAGAGCCCACGGTCATGGATCATACAGCGGGATAAAGGCTCCCGGAGCACCGGGAACAGCGCTCCGGGCTCTCCCTGCCCGGGAAGGGAAGGGGCCCGAGATGAGCCGCCTGTGCTGACTAACCCGTGGGCTTTGGGGAAACGCGTTTCCAGCCGTCCCTCCTCCACCGTCAGGATGTGGATGGACTTGTCCTTGGACACGGTGAAAAGCTCTGGGGAGCCGCGTCAGCGCCCCCAGCCCCGCCGTGACCCCCGGTGCCGCCCCCCCGCGCCCCGCACTCACTCTGCCCGTCCTGGGAGAACGCCACGTCCCGGCACGACTTGAGGTGATGCCCCGAGGACCAGAGCTGCCGGTTCTCCCCCTCGGTGCAGGAGTACGAGTACCTGCGGGCACGGGGAGTGCTCGCCGGGGCCCGCGGGCGGTGCCCAGGGCCAGGACCCCTCCCCACGCTCCTGGCCCCACTCACAGGTACACATCGCCATCCACGTCCCCCGCGGCGAGCAGCGGCCGCTCCGGGTGCAGGGCGATGGCGTTGGCCGTGGCCTCGAAGCAAATGTCCTCGGGGGTGTCCCGCACCCGCGGCTCCCGCGCCGCCGGCTCCTCCGAGGAGTCCTGGGGGCAGCGGGGCCGTGGGACCGGGGCCGTGGGGCTCGGGGGCATCGGGGTCCCGCCGCCCCACGCGTGCTCACCTCCTCCATGGCGGCCGCCATGGCACCCTGTGGTTTGAATGTCCACGCCCCTCGTTTGCATAACACCACCCCTTTGTTTATGTAGGACCGCCCGCATTCCTCTAGCCCTGCGTGGAGCGGCCCCGGCCCGGCGGGATTGCGGGGTGTTACCGGTTCAGGGGTATCGCCGGCCGAGGCTGGGGCCGGCACCCCACGGCGAGTTCCAGCCCGTGGGCCCCTGTGGCCCCGTTTCACCAGGACTCGCCTCCCGCGCCTTATTTTCACTATTCACCAGTGGGAGCCCCACGGGTTCCCCAGTTCACACCACGGGCCTCCTCCCTCTGCGTCCCAGGGGACAGTTTGGTCCCTTTCACAGCCCGAGGGGCCCCAGCCCAGCCAGGGGCCACAACACCCCTGTCCTTGACCAAAGGGGCCATCCCAGGGCCCTGCATGGTAGGGACAAGTTTTGCCTGGTGCTGGCCCCATCACACCCACCCACAGCCCCCCTGGCAGCTGCCAGGGCACCTTGCACATCCCCTCCCTCGGGCCCTTCCACTTGCTGTACTCCAGTGGAAGGTCCCCTTTCCTCCCCCTGCGCTGAGGCACAGGATGTTCAGCTGGGATGATTGCCCCCAGATAGGTTTAATCTGTTAATTTTATCCAGGGGTGCTGCCCCCCACCCCAAAAGTCTGCCACAATAAATGCCCTGAGCCGGGGTTTGCCCCAAGAGTGCCTGGCAGGTGGAAAAGAAGTCCTGGCATCCCTGCAGCTCCGAGCCCAGCCCAGGCACCTTCTCCTGCCCACACAAACAGAGGCTCACGCAAACTTACTGTAGCTTTATTAAGGGTACAACATTTACACAGGCTCTACAGCAAAGAGTGGAGGGAGGAGAGAGCCCCCCAGCCCAGAGCAGAAAGTGGACGGTGTGTGGAGCAAGGAGGGCACACCAGCACACTCTGGGAACAGCACCCAGCAGGATGGGCTTCCAGGAATGGGAGGAGGAAACAGGAGACATCAGTACTTAGGACGTTTCACTTCAACCCTGTAAGAGAGAGAGGGGCAGGAGGGTGGTGAGGATGCAGGGCAGGCAGCTCCACCATCCTCCCATCCAGAGCTCAGCACCAGGGGGTACAGTTTCACCCCACAGAAGGGTGAGAGGGCCCCAAAGAGCAGAGACAACTGTACTGACCCATCAGCCTCCAACTTCTTCCTCTTCTCGATGATCTGCAGAGAAAGCACAAAGTCCCATTACCCTCAGGGAATGTGGCTGTTCACAATCTCAGCAGAGGGGCTGGAGGGTCCCAGATACACCCAGGGAGAGCTGGATCCAGCCCAGAGCGAGCTGAGCTACAGCTGGAGCAGTTTGTTCCCCTTTTGCACCTTTTTGGCCACCACAGACCATTTGTTCTCACCTTGTCCATCCCATTCCATACTCTTGGGGTGCCCATGGCCAGCTCACTCTGCCAGGACAACCCCCAGCTCTGCCAGCTGGCAAACAGAGAGCCACCAAACATGCCCTGTCCCCTCCAAGCCCCTCTGAATGGCTCCAAACTTACAGTTTGGGCACATTCATCTGCTGCACAGCCCAGAGCAAAAAAACCCCTGACTGAATCCCCAAGTATTTGGCTGATGCTCTTGCAAGGAGCAAATCCAGCTGCTCAAGAGCTGTCCCTGCTGCACACACACCCCAGCAGTGTGTGGCTGGACCAAAGACTGGGACATGTAAGGGCAGGACTAGCTGGGAGCTGTCCTGGGCTACACTGGCAGCCTGTGGATCAAGTCCCCATGTGCCAGAAGCAGGCACTCACCGCGCTGATCTTCTTCCACTGCCGGTCCAGCTCTGCCTTGTCATTTGTCTCCTTGAAGCGGCGGGTTTTGCGCCCCTCAGACATCTTGATTCCGTACTGGAACGCTGCCCTGGGGAAGGAGCAGGACAGCTCAGTGCTTGCAGGGAATTCACAGCCTGCCAGAGGAAGGGAAGTGTCCCCCCAGCCATAAACATGTACTCCAGACCTGGCCTGGGCCCCTGAAATCAGGGCTGGAGTCCTCAAGAGTGATTCCAAAGCAAAGACAAATCACCAGGCCCAGGACCCACAGCTCCTCCTCAGGGCCTCACCACAGCACACCCATCTTGTTTAGGCTCCCCCAGCACCCAGGTCTGGCCAGCATGGCCACCCCACCCATATGGGGGGGCCCTTCCCAAGGGCTGCACTCACTTGGGCAGAGCCTCCTTGTTGTTCATGTACTCGCTGTACTCCTCCTGGGTGTCGAAGTCCCAGCGGCCCAGAGGCCCCTTCTTGTTACCCTGCAGGGAGAGAACAACTCAGCTCCTCAGTGGCTGCTGGTCAGGGCTTCTGGCACAGCCCTACGTGCCCAGCCACAAGCTCAACCTCCCACCAGCCTTGGCTCTGGATCCCCTCCCTGAGAAGCTCCAGGCAGGAGACATTCAACACCCAGTTCCAGGGCTTCCTCTCTCCCATGGGATCCTCTCAGCCAGCACTAGTGCCCAGATTGCTGGCTGTTCCTAAAGGCTGGTCACAAAATACCTGATCCATTTTGCTGTAGTCCACCTCTTCATCGCTGTCCACAGCCATATCATCCATTCTGGGCAGAAAAAAGCAAGGAAAGGTTTAGAATGGGTCCATGGGACATAGATCAGGACCTCTGAGCTGGTGGGAGCCCTGTCTTGTGGTCTGAGACCAAATGCACTCAGTTCCTGGACCAGAGAGAACTCCCAGAGCTGCAAGTCCTGCAAGTGAGCTGGACCACAGAGCACTCCAACACTCCCAGGATGACTACAGGCTGAAAGCTGTTCCTCTTCCACTGAGGGAGGCCAGAGCTCCAGGAGCACATGGATTACCAGAGAATCCAGCAGATTCCCAGCTACTTCAGCCTCTCCCAGGCTGTGAGGGGCCGCAACTCCGAGCAGCCATGTACAGCAGGGAGCAGCTCAGAAAAGGCCAGATCTGGCAGAACCAAAGACTGAGGGAGCATTTTAACAGTCGATTGTAACCACAAAGCCAGGCCTGCTCCCCCAACAAGCAGTGGGGCTGATGTTCTTGCTGCCAGAGAGCAGCAGCCCCCCAGCACACCCTGATCCCCTTCACACACCCCACTCCCACCCCGCAACCTCCCACTGTTCCTTACGTGGCAGGGTAGCACTCGGCATAGCTGTTGGACATGCCAAAGAAATCTCCCAGCTGCTTCTTGTCCTCTGGCTTCTTCAAGGTGACAATAGTTAAGGAAAGCACAACCACAAGCCCTACAGCCACAGGCTGAGCACAGCCAGCTGGAAAAACCCCTCCTGCCCCAACAATGCCAAATCAGAGGGTGCAGAGCTTATGTTTGGTGTAGGAGCAGCAAGGTTTGGGCAGTATTTCCTGTTCCTAGGTGAGGCAAGACAGTCCCACAGTTGTGCAGGGGCAGGGCCTGCCTGCAACGGCAGCCTGGGCCCACACTTAGGCAGGCTGGCATGGACAGTAAAGGATATGCCTCTGCTCCTTCCCAGCCAGCAGCTCCAGCAAACTTCTCGTTGATAGACTTGATAAGCTCCTTGGCTGAGCCGGGTCCTAGGGTAGAGAGAGCAGCAGGTTAAATTCTGGGGGAGGAACAGGTCACTGCAATACACGAGGAGCTGGGCAGAGCCTCCCTGGGACAGGCTGCAAGTGAGGTAGAAGAGCAGAAGGAAACCAGGAGGGCTGATCCCAGGACATCTGGAATGTTAGAACAGCTGGGGTGGAAGGAACCTTAAAGACCATCTTGTTCTCCCCCCTGCCAAAGGCAGGGACACTTTCCACTAGCCCAGGTTGCTCCAAGTCCCATCCAACCTGGCCTTGGACACTTCCAGGAATGGGGCAGCCACAGCTTCTCTAAGCAACCTGTGCTGGGGCCTCACCACCCTCACAGGAAAGAATTTCTTTATAATATTCAATCTAAATCTCTCATCTTTTAGTTTAAGACCATTCCTCCTAGTCCTATTACTTCTCTGCCCACAAAAAGAGACACTCTACCTTTTAGGCATTGGAATGAGCCCTGCCTGGAGCCTTCTCCCTGTAATCCTCCTCAGCTTACAGGCAGCATGAGGCTGTTTGAGCTGCTCTGCTGCCTCTGCACAGACCATACACACAAGACTCTTCACCCCAGAGTCCTCACAGCAGGCAACTCCCTCTGTCACAGCAGTTCTGAAATCTCCAACCCTGTACAGGCTCTTTCAGGTGTCCACACCACTTCACTCACCTTTGTCGATGTCTGTGGGCTACAAAGAAGAGAGAGAGATACAGTGTCACCTGGGAAGGCTGAAGGCAGGCGAGTGACAGTGCTGCATGATGTGCAGCTCTGCTTTAAGACTCCCTGTTCCAAACCCTCAGAGCTGAACCACGAACACTACAAGGCTTGTGCCAGTCCTGCCTCAATTGCTGAGAGATAGGACAAGCACCCAGCTACCCACCAGCCCCCGGGGACAGACAGAGCTCAGCAAGAGCTGGCACATGTAGGGGCACCCAAAGCCCTCAGGGCGACCCTCCAGCCCCAGTCCCCAAAGGGCAGAGCTCAGGTGGGACAATCCTTCCTGAGCAGAGGCTCACCTCATCATCAGCCTTGGGCTTCTCAAAGTAGCTGTGTCTCTTCTTCTCCTCCTCCCTCTCCCGGTCTCGCTCCCTGTCTCTCTCCCGGTCGCGCTCTCGGTCCCGGTCACGCTCCCGGTCCCGGTCACGCTCTCTCTCCCGGTACCTCTCCCGTTCCTTGTCCCGTGGCATCTTGGCAGTGGAGGGCACATAATCCCCAATGTCTTCAAAGATGCTACAAGTGGTAAAGAGCCTGGGGTTATGGATGTTGCAGGAGGAGAGGCCACAATCACCTCCCTGCAACCTGGAACCTGGTAACGGAGCACAAAGCACCAGCACTAAGAGCCAGGGACACCAGATGTGGAACTGGCTTCCACATCTGTCAGAGGTATTGCTGCATTTCTGTTCCCTTCTTCTGCTGGGCCTTTATTTGTGGTCCAGAGCAACAGCCCTCACCTGCCTCAAGCCTGAAATCCAAACCAGTGCTTGCCTCCAGCC